ATCCAAGTTCTATATGAGGAGCTACCCCCCAAAACCTGCAATTTTTTCCCTTCAAAACTATGCTTTTTTTTTTTTTTTTAACAAAACATTCTTTCACCTTCAAAATACTCTACATTACACTTCGTACATTTGTCAGATCTGCGATTCCATTTTTGGAAACATTTTTCAAACTCACCTGTTTGGATGGTTAACACCTCCCTTGTTTTTGTTTTTGTTTTTCACCTCTTCTACGTCATCAAATCTCAAATCGCTGTCCTTTCATGTTCCTCTTCATTCATGGCGATAAAAAGTCATAGATCAAGGTCAGGTGAGTGAAGGTGCCTGGGTTAAGAGAGGCATGCTGGTTTTTTGCCCAAAACTGGCGCACTGACATGGCTGTGTGAGCAGGTGCCTGGGTTAAGAGAGGCATGCTGGTTTTTTGCCCACAACTGGCGCACTGACATGGCTGTGTGAGCAGGTGCATTGTGGCAAAACCAGTCCCCCATCTGCCACAAATCAGGCCTTTTTTTGTTGCACAGTCTTTTCAGAACCTCAAACTAGAAAGCTTGATGAACAGTCTGACCTGGTGGAAGGAACTATGTACCATGAACTATGTGTACTATATACTACTCATAGTAGTAGAATGTGCTATGAGTAGACATTTTAGTCCGTTTGGGAAGTTGATGGATATCCAGTATGAGGTTTGTCATCAATTGACATTTCACCTATTTTGAAATGAGAAAACCACTTGTACACTTCAGTTTTTCCCATAGCACTGTCCTTGTAAGCTGTGTTCCACATCACAACAGTTTCTGCAGCATTTTTCCTGAGCAGAAAACAAAATTTCGTAGCTGCACACTGTTCTCTTAAACTGGCCATCACAAAAAACGAGATTTGAGTGAAATTGCTTTTATGGAAAAACTCGCTGTGACCAGAGAGAACCTTCCAGGTGACACCACTGGCTGCACTAACTCAGAGCGAGTTGCTTGCTGCTTGCTGCTCGCCTAGTGGGAAAAATGTGTACTATGAAACCTCCGCTCTGCCCAACGCAATTCCGTTTTTTTGGGGGATGCCCCTCGTATATTTATATAGCCAATATTCATTTTAATATTTGGCAGGAAATACTCAGTCTGATGATTCTGTTACCAATTCTCTTCCAGAATCCCCAAAGGAGGATCATATGTTTGAATTAACTATTGTTTAAAAGATTAATTCACTGCTACTTTTGTTGGTCCATCGTGGACTTTTTTTCTTCCTGGGATGTAGTGCTTGTGTGTGTGTTCTTTGAATTTCTTACAGAATTTTTATTATTTGTGTTTTTTTCCAGCTAAATGTTTTCAAATTTTTAACAGTTGGTGCTTTTATGTACCATCTATCAGAACTCCCAAATGGAATTAGGACTTTATGTGTCAGCAGATGAACTCTCATTTGGAGCTGCTGCTTGGTGGCCCTGCCTGCCTGGCAACAGGTCAGTTTCCATGGCAGTGCCATTTTTGTACTGCATTGTTATTGGAGCCAAGAGGTTGGAGGTGGGGAGGGGATGTAGATCCCTTCCCCAGCTTTAACTAGAATGGTTGAGCTCTCATCCGGCTTTGCATGTTAATTTTTGCTTTTTTTTTTTTTTAAAGTATGGATGAGCTTTAGTGCCCATTAAAAAAAAAAAAAAGGTTGCTAGCCCACATTTCCTGCCTTTTAAAGAACACTTAGCAATAGAAAAAGTGAAAGTGTTTTGATACCAGTGATTTGAAGTGTGGGTTCCATAAACTGAATGCAGTTCAGACAAAACTAATGATGAACAAGCATGCTAAAAGCATGAAACTTCAGCAAGAGATGCTCATTGGTTGACTATTTTCAATTGTGAAGGAAATAACACAATTTAACAATCGAGGTATTATAGAGGTATGTAACCAGGTGCAGTGGGAACCCAGGAGTGGTCCTAAGTTTGGGGATTCTCTGATAATTCTCAGTAAGTGGTCACTGAATAACATGTGCACATATTACATATAAACTGAAAACACCTGTCTTCTATATTCCAGTGAGTGGTGCCAGCTCACTTAAGCCTGAAATGTACATTTCTTTGTGCCCTTGTGTCACATATCCAGATTGTCGTTAAATTCTCTTTTCTAACAGCGACAGTGCTTTCAAACCCCTCCTCATTTCTCACCTGCGAGACTCTGGCAGGGATCCTCTCTCGAGAACTGACTTGCCTAATGCTAGTACGTCTGTCAGTTTCATGGCTGCACACACAACACTTAGAACACTGCCTGGCCATCTCACTGCAGTCAAATCCAATCTGACTCCCAGCAACCCAATAGGACAGGGTAGAACATTCCTGTGGGTTTCGGAGACTGCAATTCTTTAAGGGAATAGAAGCCTCATTTTTCTCCCACAGAGTAGTTGATGGCTTAGAACTTGCAGTTAGCAGCCCAACCTGTAACCCACTACACCACCAGGGCACCTTGCTGTGGGAATGAAAAACCAAACTCACTGCTGCAGAGTCGATTCTGACTCATCACGACCTTATAGGTCAAGGCAGAACTGCCCCTGTGGTTTCTGAGACTGCCTCATCACAGGAGTAGGAAGCCTTGTCTCTCAGGAGCGGCAGCTGGTGGTTTCAAACTGCTGATTTTGCAGTTAGCAGCCCAACACACAATCCACTACAGCACCAGGGCTCCTTGCTTTGATGATTGAAAACTCACTGCCATCGAGTCAGTGCTGACTTGCAGTGACCCTATCGGAAACGATAAAACTGCCCCTGTGAGTTTCCAAGACTATTTATGGGGTTAAAAAGCCCCATCTTTCTCTCAAGGAGCAGCTCGTGGCTTTGAACTGCTGACTTTGCAGTTAGCAGCCCAATGTATAACACACTTATACCACCAGGGCTCCTTGCTTTGGTGCTCGGAGGTGCTAATTTTAAAGTTTCTGAAGGAATGGTTGTCTTCTTTGTGAGTCTTCTTCACTGTTCAGTCCCTCGATGTGCATAGCACCTCTGGCTCCAAGCCCTCCCGGGTCACTCACTCACTGGAGAGCAAGGACTTGTAAAGGTGAGGTGATGTTGTTGGGTGCCATTATGTCGGTTCTGAGTCACAGCAACTGACCTCACGTGACGTGACAGAGAAGTGCCCCAGGAGGCTGCCTGGCTGTAATCTTTATGAGGGCTGAGCACCAGGTCTTCTAAGCAGCTGAGCACTTAACCCTTGCTTTCCTGTCCCTGTGTGCAGCACATGCTCCCCGGGGCCCCCCACCTCCCCAGTGGAGTACTGTGGTTTAAAAAGGAGTGGTCAACATCATTTTAGATTTGATAGAATACTATACTACTACTTTCAAGCAAACATTCAAGAAGGGTGTGATTTTTTTAAAAAACATTTGTCAAAAAGAGACATGAGTCTTTAATGGTTTCTAAATCTTGACATTTAAAATAAATTACAAATAGGGAGTGTCTGCACACAAGTGAGAATGCAATTTCTTGTGAGATAACGAAATGTGAATTCGTGAAATTAGCCCAACTCTGAATATGCTGAAAACAAAACAAAAAAAAGCACCAAATGGTACAATTTAAAAGGGTAAATTCCCATAGCACACAAATTAAATTCAAAGCTGTTACTGAAGAAATAAATTAAATTCCTTGATTTGACTCATAAGGCCTGCCCTCCACTGTTTGGCCTTCCTGTCTTGGCAGTGTCCCTGCCGCCACTTTCTCACCTCGACCACTCACGAGCCTCAAAACAGTCAGTCCAGACTCTAGCCGTAGAAGTCTGCGTCTGCACAGGCCACTCCTGGACCCAAGTTCCTTTCCTTCCACACCCTATTTCCTCCACCCCCTGCTCCCCCCAGGACTTTCAGGGTTTATCACAGATGAGGCATATATGATTTTAGAAAATCATAGGTGTCCAGTAGGTGGATTATGTGTAATATACAATTTCATTTTCTGTAATGTGCAAAAACCACTTAAAGCACACTTGATAAACTTTAGTCAGAAGGTTAAAAACAATTTTTATTACTGAGATAAAAATATACATAAGCTTCCCCAGTTCCAAGTTTTCCATGTGAAATTCAGTGATGTATACAACGACCCTCACTCTTCCTTCCAGATCCTCCATCCTCTTAAAGCAGGAGCCTAGTGTCTTGGCATCACAGTTTACTCTACTGGGTGTTCCCCTTCCTTTCTCTTAGAATTTATTTGTTGAAAAACAAATTATTTTGTTGAGAGCGATTTTTTATTGACAGCGAGCTTATTGATAACTTTCACATTATGGACTTGCCAATTGCATTCCTTTGTCCTTCATGTTTCCTGTCAGCTGATAGTAGACTCAAAGGCCTTAAAGTTTAAAGTTTCTGGTGAAAATAATTTGGAGGGGGGAGGGCAATGAATGTACAAATGTGCTTTACACAATTGATGTATGTATGGATTGTGATAAGAGTTGTATGAGCGGGACCACTCCGCACACACGTCTGGGAAATGGCTTCTCTCAACTCCCGCCATCCCGCCTCCAGCAGCACCTGCCTTCCTTTTGAATTTGCAAAAAACCTCGCCCTGCCCTTGAAATGAAAGGGAGAAAGCTGAAATGGGTCTCTCAAGAAAAAGACAAGGAAAAGTCCAGCAAGTCTGTTAGCAGCTGGAAATCTCACTGAAAGATCACAAAACAACGTATTGCTCCCTCTTCTCTGTTAGAAGTCATATCCTAACGGATTACCTATTATTGGATTGATTGCTTGGCACTGTTAGTGAATTTACACAACCCAGGAAAGAGTTCTGTGCCGAAGTGTGTGTCACCAGAGAAGGATTGAATGTGACAGGCGCTGGTGATTGATTGCAAGGGACCAAGCAACTGCTTCTCAAAAACGCTTCCATAATTCTCTGAAAGAGACGCCTGCTGGGTTCAGACTCCGCCTGGAGAAATAACGATAGTTCCCTATGATTTCCGGACACCGGGCTGCCTGATCTGACTGCGAAGGGACTGGACGGGCACCTTCTGCGGTCTGCACAGCCTCAGGGAAGCGAAAGGGGACTGCTGGGTCACTCCTGCTCCTAGGAAACTTTGAGCATAGGAATGAAGATGGCTGCTGGGCAAGAGGAAGACAATTACATCAACTTTATAGAAATGAAATTTATTAACAATTCGCTTTACTTTCTGTCTGATAATTATTACAACATGGAATCAGATTACTTCAGCAAGCTTGGACCACCAAAATTTGCAATCATACGAAACGTGAAGGACCAAGTTCTCTTCATTAACCAGGGGAAACAACCACTGTTTGAGGATATGCCTGATTATGACTGTAGAGATAATGCACCCCAGACTACATTTATAATAAAGAAGTATAAAGATACCAAACCTAGAAGTCTGCCAGTATCCCTCTCAGTGAAGTATATGAATAAAACCCATACTGTGTCCTGTGAGAACAAGACTATTAACTTTAAGGAAATCAGTCCTCCGGAAGCTATCAGTGATACAAAAAGTGATGTCATATTCTTTATGAGAAACGTTAGAGGACGTGATAAGTGTCGATTTGAATCATCCTTGTACCCAGGGTTATTTTCTTGCTTCTCAAAAAGACAGACCTTTACAAACTCATTTTGAAGAACCAAAATGAAGATTCATCTGTAATGTTCACTGTAAACATCCAAGAACTAGGTAATTGAAATAAAATTGACAACAGTCAACTAGAAAGATTGAATAGGAAAGTTAGGGGCAAGCAAGTTCATGCCAATGGGAGAGGAGACACTCAGAAAAAACAAAGGATGAAATGTTACACAACTAGAAGAATGTAATCACTGTCAGTGAATTATGCTTGTAGAATTTATTGAATTTGTCATTCTGAACACATTAAATAAAATGGATTATATATATATTTTAAAAAGAGTTGTATGAGCCCCTAATAAAATGATTAAAAAATAATAATTTTGGGCAAGGATAATTCTTGGATATTTCAGCTACCTATTTTCATTGACAATTTCTATGACATCTCTTTATTTTCATCACTTTTTTTTCCTTTTTTTTCATTGTTAGAATTTTTTTTTAATCATTGTATTAGGGGCTCATACAACTCTTATCACAATCCGTACATACATCAATTGTGTAAAGCACATTTGTACATTCATTGCCCTCATCATTCTCAAAGCATTTGCTCTCCACCTAATCCCCTGGCATCAGCTCCTCATTTTTCCCCTCCCTTCCCGCACCCCCCTCCCTCATGAACCCTTGATAATTTAGAAATTATTATTTTATTATTTCTTGCCCCGTCCGATCCCTTCACCTGCTTTTCTGCTGTCGGTCCCTCAGGGAGGAGGTTATATGTAGATCCTTGTAATCAGTTCCCCTTTCCAACCCACCCTCCCAGTATCACAACTGGTCCTGATGGGATCATCCGCCCTGGATTCCTTGCGTTTCCAGTTCCTATCTGTACCAGTGTACATCCTCTGGTCTAGCCATATTGGTAAGGTAGAATTGGGATCATGCTAGTGGGAGGGGGGAGGGAGGAAGCATATAGGAACTAGAGGAAAGTTGTATGTTTTATTGTTGCTACATCGCACCTTGACTGTCTCCTCCCCAAGACCCTTCTGTAAGGGGATGTTCAGTGGCCTACAAATGGGCTTTGGGTCTCCTCTCTGCATTGCCCTCCTCATTCACAATGATAGGATTTTTGTTCTGATGATACCTGATTCCTTCGACACCTTGTGATTGCACAGGCTGGTGTGCTTCTTCCATGTGGGCTTTGTTGCTTCTGAGCAAGATGGCTGCTTGTTTACCTTCAAGCCTTTAAGATCCCAGACGCCATACCTTTTTGATAGCTGGGCACCATCAACTTTCTTGGCCACATTTGCTTATGCACCCATTTGTCTTCAGCAATTGAACACTTCACTTTAAAGGCGAGACAGGCAGTGCTGTGGGAAAGCATTGGTCTGCTAACCACAAGGTCAGTGGTTTAAACCAGCAGTTTTCAACCTGTGGGTCACGGCCCCTTTGGGGGTGGAACGACCCTTTCACAGGGGTTGCCCAATTCATAACAGTAGCAAACTAAGAGTTAGGAAGTAGCAACGAAAAAAATTTTATGCTTGGGAGTCACCACAACATGAGGAACTGTATTAAAGGGTCACAGAATTAGGGAGGTTGAGAACCACTGGTTTAAACCCTCTGCTTCTCTGCAGGAGAAAGTTGAAGTTGTCGCTTCCATAAAGATTTCTGGCCTCGTGAAGCCTACATAGGGTTGGTATGAGTTGGGACTGACTTGATGGCAGTTGGCCAGGCATCCTGGTGGCTCTGTGGATTAAGCACTGGGCTACTAGCTGGCTGCTGACTAACTGCAGGATCAGCGATTCATACCTACCAGCTGCTCTGTGGGAAAAAGAAGAGATTGCCTGCAAAGATGTAGTCTTAGAACCCGGTGGAATAGTTCTCACTCTTGTTGGGTTGCCATGCAATGGAATCAGTGAGGTAACAGTGGTTTTTGTATTTGGGGCTTAATTTAGTATAAAGTTATATTACATGGATATGTTGCATTGTTTAGTATCTGTACTGTATACTAGCATCTAGTATTTAGCATCTAGTATCTGTACTGGAATATAAACTTCACAAGGACAGAGATCTTTGTTTTGTTTTGTGCTATATCTTCAAGTACCTAAAACTTTTCCTTTTTTTTTTTTCCACATAAACAAACAAACCCCATAACACATTGCCATCATATTGAATCTAAGTCAGGTGACATTCTAGGACAGAATAGAACTGCCCTTAGAGAGTTTCCAAGACTGAAATCATTTTCAGGAAGCAGGCTACCACCTCTTTCAGAGAGTGACTGGTGAGTTCCAGTCACAGACCTTTTGGGTAGCAGCCAAGCACCTTAACCACTGCATCACAGGGACTCTTGTTTTAGTTGAGTCTGTTCCTCCTCATAGCTAGTCTACGTACAGCAGAACTAACACTGCCCGGCTCTGCGCCACCTTCACAATCTTATTGCATTAGAGCCCATTGTTGTAGCCACTGTATCAGCCTGTCTTCTCGACTCTGCTGCTTTACCCAGCATGAAGCTCTTCTCTGGGCACTGGTCCCTTCTGGTGCCATATCCAAAGTAACGCTCTGAGGAGGGTTCTGACTACATTTCTTCCAACACAGATTTGTTTGTTCTTCAGGCAGTTAGGTGCCATAGAGTTGATTCTGATTCATAGTGATCCCATTGCAACAGAACAAAACACTGCCGCCCTCACCAACTGTGCTTATGTTTGAACAAGCCACTGTCAGCGCTTCTGTATCAGTGTATCTCGTTGAAGGCCTTCCTCTTTTTCGCTGCCCCTCTACTCTAGCAAGCATGATGCTCTTCTCCAGAGACTGGTCCCTCCTGATATATGTTCAAAGTACATAAAGTCTCGCCATCCTTGTGTCTTAAGGAGCCTTCTGGCTGCACCTCTTCCAAGACAGATTTGTTTGTTCTTTTGCCAGTCCATGATACTTTGAATATTTTTTCACCAGCATCATAATTGATTTTTCTGTCTTCGTTATTCATTGTCCATCCAACTTTTACATGTATATGAGGCGATTGAAAATACCATGACTTGGGTCAGGTGCTACGTAATTCTCAATGTAACATCCTTGCTTTTCAACACTTTGAAGAGGTCTTCTGCAGCAGATATACCTATGACAATGTGTTCTCCGTAGTCTGTGGTATATTTAGTATTTTGGGCCAACTCCATTTAGTTGATACTAAAATCTCCTAAATAAAGAAATGAATAAAATATAGAGGTCGACAGGTTGTTCTACCCCTCACTAGTGTGCACAGAAAAGTAGAACTTTGTATTAGTGCGTGTTCGACACATTACTAGAAAACAGTGTAAGACCCTTGGGCGATTAGAAACTCCTGAGATGCATCTGGCGGCAGGCCCTGAAGCCAGCGCTGCTCCTTGAGGCTGTTGTCGGATGCCACGCAGTGGGTTGTGACTCACAGCAGCCCGTGCATGTGACACGGTGGAGCTGCTCTGTCCAATTTTCTTGGCTATAATCTGCAGAGCCTCTTGCCAAGTCTTTCTCCTGAGGAGCCTTTGGGTGGGTTTGAACGACCAGTCATTCCAGTAATACGACCAGAGAGTCTGCACCTGGTGGGTCCCTGGGGCTCTCTGTTTGCTAGCTCCCAGGGGTTTATTGGCTCTTTAAAATTCTGTCTCCATGGGAGACTCCCTGTAGCAGAAAGGAAGAGAAGGCCACTTTGCTTAGAGCAGGACAGTCAAGCTACCAATCTAGAGGCTTCCTAGAATTCCAGTGGAAGCCCCTGAACCTTACCCAGGTGCCCAGCAAGGCCATTTCCCACCCAGCCTCATTGCGCACACTCAGAGCCTCACCATCCTATTTGCTTTCAGACCATCACTGTTAATGTCATCATGTATTTTTTAAAAATTGTGAAATGGAAGTAATACCTTTTGCCATTTTAAGCATAATATTTGTCCTTTTGTATCCGATTTGTTTTGCTCAGCAGGTTTCCGAGGGTTATGCACGTTGCGGCTTGTATTAGAATCACATGTCTCTTTATGACTGAGTAGTAGTCTATTGTATGAATGTCACATTTTCATTTGTCATGTACTTATCAATGACTGCTTGGGTTATTTTGATCTTGTTGCTTTTGTGTCTAGTGCTGCAATTAACAACTGGTATTTAAAAAACCTGTTTGAGTCCCTGCTTTCCATTTTTGGGGTACTCATCTAGGAGGAGTGGAGTTGCTGGGGTGTCCAATTTTGTTTCACTTTTGGAGGAGTCTCCAAACGGTTTCCACAGTAGCAGCACTTTTACATTCTTACCAGCACGGCAGGAAGCTTCCGGTTTCTCTGTATCCTCACAGATGAATAATTTACATGAACAGGATCAGCACAAAGCTGGCTCCTGTAAGGCAGAGGTTAAAGACGTCTTCCGTGTCCCATCCAACTTTTCTAAACTGTCCTACCATCCATCTCCTTCCCTCTGTGCTTTCTTTGGGTTCTGTAACTCACTGCAGCGTCTCGCAGAAGTCACAGCTGGCGATGGGAATGGCTCGCACAGCCAGGGAGGCTTTTTAAGTTCCACCAAGTCTGTGCCAAGTCACAGCTACCCTTATGCACAGCAGAATAGAACACTGCTCAGGCCCGCGCCATCCTCACCATTGCACTCGCTGTTGCAGCCACTGTGCCCATCCATCTTGTGGAGGGTCTTCCTCTTTTTCTCTGCCCCTTGGCTTTCCCACCGTGCATTATGCCTCCTGGCAACACACCCACAGTGTGGGAGACGAAGTCTCACCGTTCTTGCCTCTAAAGAGCATTCTGGCCATACTTCTCGCAAGACACATTTGCTTGTTCTTTTGGTAGTCCAGGATACTTTAATTATTTTTTGCCAGCACAATAATTCAAATACATAGCTGCTTCTTTGGTCTTCCTTATTCACCATCCAGTTTTCACATACATGTACGGTGATTGAAAATACCACGGCTTGGGTCAGGTGCACTCAGTCCTTAACTTGACATCTTTGGCCTTTAACACCTGAGAGGGGAGGTCTCTTTTGCAGCAGATGTGCCCAATAAAATGCGCTGTTTAATTTCTTGACTACTGCATCCTTGGGCCCTGATTTCA